AGTTTAAGTTTGTCCCAACTATTGTGTAGGACATGCTTAGAATTCACTCTTTATTTGAAATTCAAATTGGACTGGGCAATCTGTATTTTTATTTGCTAAATCTGGCAACACTAGCCAAAGGAAAATTAAAACAGCTTATTTTCAATTGACATTATACTGCCCTGTACCATTGGAAAACACAGATAAAAAGAATTACGTAATTGTCTATTTTGTTGTAAAGATTTCTGTTACTTAAAAGTGGCAAAGGTCTCAAGGTTTATAAATGACATTAAAACAGGTAAAAGAAATGGGCTATGCTGGTATAAGGATGATGATGAACCTTTAAAGATCCACACATCAGAAAATCTGCTGTTACACAAATTCTGTCATTTGAATAATTTAAGCTATGACTAAAAGCAAAGTAATGCCGCACACAAATCAGTCTTATTTTATAGTCACTTCAACTGGACGATAACCCATTAGCCTTGCATTTCCAAGTAAAAAGCCAGTATTGCCTAAGGCACACACTTACCACTTGCCCACCTCTTCTCAGAATTGCCAATGTCTTCTAATGAAACATTAATTTTTCCAAACAACTGTTTCAGTCAGTGTCTTATTAGCAAAGCAAATATCTGATTCCTAAACTAACATATCCAGTTTAAGGGACAGTTACTTCCGAAAGGAAGCAAATTAATAGAAATACTATGGCAGGATTCGGTTCATTTGGATGTTAAGACAGCCAATCCCTTTTGAAAATATTTCTAAAATGTACCTTTCCACTGTTTCCAGTGGATGTGGTAGCCGCGTCCCCACCTTCCCACTCCCACATGGAAAATTATTGCTTAAGAAAATCTGAACAAACAGGGTAAATAGTTGGCCAATATTTTCCTTATAAAAACACACGCACAATTAGACCTGGCCCAAATGCCAAGGTAAATTAAAGATCTGTCCATTACTGATGCTTCTGGGTTTTCGAGAGAACCTTCTGGATCATTCAGGTACTAGGAGCTGCCTTTTCCTAAGTTCTTTGATTGGAATCATCTAAAATTTGTGGCTCTAGAAACCTGACTTAAAGGTTTAGCTGAGTTGGGCTTCTGAAACACACCAGTTTGCAAAAGACTTTGTGGAAGAAATAAAGTCTTTCGTGAGACTTGCCATCTATTTGTTACAGAGCATTCTTTTGGACTGTTGTGCTAAATCTAATCTGGCACATTATTAACCTTTGCAAATTAGGCATTTAGTAGGCTAGGCTGAATATTTTCTTAATTTGCACATTAAGGTTTGCCAAAACAGCTGGCACTATGATGGTAAATTAGTTGAGATCTTTGATTTATATAGTTTAAGTGCAAACGTAGAAGCCCTACTTCTGAGAGGATGACCTAACAGGTACCAAACACTAGTAAACATTATTAATAAGATTAATAGAAACAATGGCAGCTAATGCTTATTGAATGCTTCCTACGTTCCAGGCACTGTAAGTACATTTAGTCATTTAAAACTTTCAATAATTTTATGAGGTTTTATTTCCCCAATGTTGTGGATGAGAAAACTGAGAATGGTTAAGTTACTTGCCTTAAATTACTCTCTTAGTAACTAGTCAAACTCAGCTTTGTACCTAGGCGATCTAGTGGCAGAATGATCTAGAAGCAGAATCTACACGCTTACCACTTTGCAACACTGCCTCAGCTCATGTATCAGATAACAATGAAGACCTTCCACCTTCTCAGGTCAGGTTTCATGGGAAGGAGGTGTCACTTCTTGGACTGAGATACAGATTTCAGAGGAATGGGAGTAACCCTTCATCCCCACTCCCAAACAACCACAGGCAACCTTGCTATTCTCTTAAAGTGTGTGCATTTTTGGTTTATTTTTAATATGTTTATAATAGGATTCATGAAAAAGCTTTAATATGCTTATGATAAGGTGTTGACATGTATCAGGATCTGCAGTGACAACAGAGCTGTAAATGTGTAAGGTGGGGTTTCCCGTCAATGATAAGGACATTCTAGATGTTAGTCACCCAGAGAAGAGCAATCTGACAAGCCCAGAACACAGATGGGATCTCTAGCTGGGTGGCAGGCTGGAGTCTAGCTCTCCTGAGTTTGATCACCAATGGCTAAGGTCATGGGGTGGGATGTGATGGTTTCTCTGTGGGTAGAGTAGGGACAGACATGGTAGAATCCAGGGTACCAGTAGAGTAGGATCACGGGGTTTGTGCCTCTTTTTACCTACGCTTCTTTCCCTGTTGTCCTCCTTGAGTGCTGGAAAAGGCCTTTTGAAAGTTCCAGTACATCTCCAATGTTTCAGTGAGGGAGTTTTTAAACAAATGGGGCCATAGAACCCCAGAGGGGGGCAATGATGATGGTGGGAAAAAAGAAGAGAATCCAGAGGGGACAGGGATGAAAACAGAAGCTTCCTGAAGCCTGCCATCCTCCCTCCCTCATCAGTTCTGTAGCCAAAACTTGGGGGTGCTGCCTTATAATTTAATTTGGAGGCAGTATTCCTATGTGCCTTATACACAGAGATGTTTGAGAATGGTCTATAAAACAGCCATGATAGTTTTACACCACAATCAACTTTGAAAGAACTGAAGACAGCCTGATGTTTCTCCCTTCCTTCTTTTTAAAATACAAGTGAATAAATGTAGAGATGATTGTTGCTGATAGTGCCGACATATTTGAAAGTGTCTGTTATTCAGGAAGGAGCAAATGCTATGTACTTAATGAGTGGATTTATTAAGCTAAAAAAAGTCCCCTGCCAAACCCCATTCCTGGCTCAAAGTATCACCATAAGAGTTTTACTTCTTTTTAAAAAGAAGAAGGAAAAGAAGGTGGAAAAGGAGGAGGGGTGGGTCGGAAAGTTGGAGGAGGAGAAGGAGGAGGAAGAGGACCAGGAGGACAGAAAAGAAGCACTTGCTGGGTGAAACTAACCAGGGCTTTACAAGGGAGCTGGGGAATGTCACTTTCATTTCAGGAACCCCCACCACCTCTCCTTTACCAACACAGCAATTATTTTTCCCTAGAAAAAATGTTATTTCGATTTCTGAAAACACCCATCTTTAGGATGCAGAGAGTCTCATGAGGTATTGATGCCAATTTTTATATTATTTTCTCACAGCTTATTGCAAGTAGCTCTAACAACACAAGGATCCTTAAAGAGGGAAGGCTGAAGCTTCATCACTCTGCTTGTAAGATGCACACAGAAACACAACCATGTCTTCCAGGGTCAGGAGAGCCCCAGAACTGGGAGGCTGTGAGCCTCTTGGTTCTGACCCACTCCCCAACATGCGTGCACGGATGAGGCTGTTCCGTGGGCCCACCCGCCCCCTCACTCCAGCGATGCACAAGGGCAATATTCTCACCCCAGAACAGCTGGACTAAACTCTAAAATTGACCAAGAAAAAAAAATTGAGCTCCTTAGAAAAAATGCTACTACACTGCTGGTAGGGTTAATCCGGGTATTGTCAGCTGCCAGAGCTGTCGATTTAAAAAGAAAAAAGAAAAAAAAAAAAAAGACAAGCCGCAGGATAAAATTAGGAAAGAAACCTACCCACTGGCTCTACTGGCTCGCTCAAGTTCTGCGCCTCGGGCTTCATGAAAAGATGTCTAGTGAGGGGGAAAGTAAAGGCACCTTTCCTGTCGTTTCGCAAACATCTCTTGCTCGGAGCGTTGCTGGAACTGCCTCACAGGACAGTCCCGCGGTTTGGGACGCGGCCGTTAACACCTGCTGGGATCCGGGCGCGGAGGCTGCGAGGCTGCGAGCCAAAGCCGCCAGAGTGTTCGGGAACCGTCCGCGGACGCGACTGCAAACGGTGCGGACACCAACACGAAAACGGTTTCTTTTTCTCAGACTTTTCAGCAAGTAAAGGAAGAAAACAAAAACGAAACAGAACACGCTCTAGGCTTAAGTTGGGAAACTTTTCCTCAAAATTGCATTATCCTTTGTGAGCGGCCCGGAAACCCCTAGCTTCGTTTTAAGGGACTGAGACGACCCGTGTCCACAAGAACACAAACCCAGGCAGTTCAGGAGGAAAAAAAAATCACGGACAGTCAAACGGGGTTGTGCTGTGTGGCTTTGGAACATTCTTATGGAAACACCAGTGTCCGCGCGCTCGCAGCTGCTCGTTCCGCGGGCGCCTTATCCATAGTCGGCTGTCCCGGTGCGGCTGCATTTTCTGGAAAAACTGGGTCCCCGGCACCAGGCTGAGCGCACTGTCTCCCGGCCCCCACTCAGCCAAGCTCCGTCCTCCTGCTCCTCTCTCCGCAGCCCCTGCCCGAGGCCGCCGCCGTCGGTCCTGAGACCAGCGAGGCGCGCGCGGGGAAGCCGCCCAGAATCAGGGTCGGGGCTGGGGGCACTTTGAGCCAACTTGGCAGTTTCCGCCACCGCACACAGTTCCGGGAGGCTGCGGGCCGCAGGGTGGAACTGCAGACCCAGGAGGCAAGCTTGAGCCGGGTGAAGGCAGCGGCCGGCGGGGCTGTTAGTGCCGCATCGCCCCCAGCGCGCAACCACGGAGGGACGCCGGGACCCGAGACCAAGAGACCGCCGAGCCCCGGCCGCGCGCGCAGCCACTGCTTGGATAGAGCCTTCCAGACGCGGTTCCCCCCTCTTCTCCCGTCCCTCCCCGGGTCCAGCCGCCTCTAGAAGTGTGCTGCCCGCTCTGGCACGGTGGGCTCGGAGACCCGAGAAGCCTCGAGTCGCACGCAGTGTCGCCCACCCGGGGTTCGAACGCGTCGCGCAGCCACCTGTTCCACAACGCCCGGAGTTTGTGTGGGCGCGGGCTGCGGCAGGAAGGACCCTGCCATCCCCTGGGTCCCACACGGCCCAGGATCCCGACAGGCTGGCACCACCCCAAATCCAAGTGCGCACATCACGCAACTCCGGAGGCTCGCCCCACTCCGGCCACCCGCGCGCGGTGACTTACTTCCCGGTGTCGCCGCTGCAGCCCCAGCCCCAGCCCCGGCGCCGGCCACCGGGGCCCCGAGCGCGCCCGGCTCCTCCGGGGGGACGGCGCCCCGAAATACCTGCAGTGAAGATGCAGAGAGCGAAGAGAGTCTTGCAGACCATGGTACCCTGGTGTGCGGTGCCGAGCTCCGCGACTGACCGAGCGCTCGGAGCGCGTCCGGCTCCTCCTCTGCCGCGCTGGCGGCCTTGGGAGCCGGGAGGCGAGGGCGGCTCTGCGCGCTCGGGCTCGGGCTGCTCCCGCGAAGGGCGGAGAAGCGAGACGAGCGCGGCGCGGCTCCGTCAGCCGCGTGTCCTCCGGCGCCCGGCGCGCTTCTGCTCCATCCCAGCCGCCCGAGCCTCGGCCGCCTCTGCCGCCGCGCGGGCTCCAGCCAAACCCCTCCCACCCGGGCCCCGCGGCGCTGACAAGGCCACCCCCTGGCCTCCACTCTCCCGGCGCTCAGGTCCTGGGAGCCCCGGCCCAGGGCGGCCTCTGCTGGACAGTGAGGGCGCGAGACTCGCGTTTGGACCGGGTTCCGCGAAGGTCCTGGCGTCTAGCACCCTGCTGGGAACCGAGGGGACTCAAAGAAGTGTGAGCGGATCTCTGCCCCCGGGAATTTATCTCAGCTTTTCTTATGCGAGCTACCACAGGTGACCATCTTACCACAGGTGACCATCTTAGGCGTCCCTTCGAAGAGCCAAGACCCCACTACTGCAGAAGAGCATACACTTTACTTTCCAAGGAATTGTCTTCCTTTCTTCAAAATGTTCCTGCGTGTACGTCAAAACCTCCCACACATTCAACCCCACTGCACTTCCTGGTCCCTGAGCCAGCATGCCTTTTATCCTTTTCAGCTTCTTGCCAGAAGAAATGATACTAATGTCCGGTAATAGTGATCATGGGACAACTGAGCCAGACAACCTCCTAGGTGTGGTATCATGACTCCTAACAATCTGGTGACGTAAGAATTACTATTATTCCATTGTATAGACGAGAAGACCGAGGCACACAGAAGATAACGTAATGCACTCTAGGTCACATGGCTGGTAAGGACTGGACCCCGCAATCGAACAGTTTGTGCATCAGGGCCACAAAAACAAAGGCCGACATTTCCTGACTGAGTGTTGTGTGCTGAGCGACTGTGCTGTGCGGGTATTAACCAAATGAAGTTCTCACAGTAACCCTTTGAGCTGGGCACTATTCTATCTTCATTTTCGGTGGAAGCAGTGGAAGCACAGGAAGGTTTAACTACTTGTCCGAGGCCAGGCAACTAGCAAGTGGTACAGACAGCATGCCTGCCCGGGCACCCTGCGTCATCCCTACAGGGTACTCGCTCTCCAAGCCCAGGGTTTCTGTATGTTCACGCAGATCAAAGCTGACCTTGCGCTTAGGCCTCCCCACCAACTTACACTTGCTTATTTCTCACACCTCTATCCGGCCAGACGCCAGATCCACGTGCCCTCTCTCTGCTGGTAGGAGTCTGCTGGTCCCCTCGTCACCAGAGCTGGAAAGTGGCTGGAATTAACGAGACTTCTTAAGGAATTAATAAGCTCAGGACTGTTCGTAGACCTTGGGAACAGCTTTCTTTTTCCTGTGGCTTCTTTTTCCTGTACCAGAGCCTCGGGTTTCATTTTGTCACTTGTTTGGGTCTTATCACTGTACCCGTGACCACATCCATTCCTCTGCCTGACCCCACCATTACCACTTGTGTAGTTTGTCTCTCTTCCACAACCAGATTAAACTGGACTCATAGTTTCTTTTCTTTTTCCTTTTTAAAAATTAACATATAATGTATTATCTGCTTCAGGAGTACAGGTCTGTGAATCATCAGTCTTACACAATTCATAGCACTAACCGTAGCACATACCCTCCCCAGCGTCCATAACACTTCCTATCCCTTCCCCCCACCCCGCTCCCCTCCAACAACCCTCAGTTTGTTTCATGAGATAAAGAGTCTCTTATGATTTGTCTCCCTCCCCAGTCCCATCTTGTTTCTTTTTCCCTCCCTGCCCCTCACGAACCCCCTCCCTGCCTCTCAAATTTCTTATATCAGAGAGATCGTATGATAATTGTCTTCCTCTGGTTGACTTACTTCGCTTAGCATAATACCCCTTAGGTTCCATCCACATGGTTGCAAATGGCAAGATTTTGGTTTTTTGTTGGCTCCATAGTATTCCATTGTGCACGCGCGTGCGTGCGTGTGTGTGAGTGTGTGTGTGTATATATATATACATATATATGTATATATGTATATATGTATATATATATATACACCACATCTTCTTTATGCATTCATCTGTTGATGGACATCTAGGTTCTTTCCATAGTTTGGCTATTGTGGACATTGCTGCTATAAACATTCGGGTGCACATGCCCCTTTGGATCACTACGTTTGTATCTTTAGGGTAAATACCCAGTAGTGCAATTGCTGGGCCATAGCGTAGCTCTATTTTCAACTTTTTGAGGAAACTCCATGCTGTTTTCCAGAGTGGCTGCTCCAGCTTGCATTCCTACCAACTGTGTAGGAGGGTTCCCCTTTCTCCACATCCTCGCCAGCATCTGTCATTTCCTGACTTGTTAACTTTAGCCATTCTGACTGGTGTGAGGTGATATCTCATTGTGGTTTTGATTTGTATTTCCCTGATGCTGAGTGATGTGGAGCACTTTTTCATGTGTCTTTTGGCCATCTTGATGTCTTCTTTGCAGAAATGTCTGTTCATGTCCTCTGCCCATTTCTTGATTGGATTATTTGTTCTTTGGGTGTTGAGTTTGATAAGTTCTTTATAGATTTTGGGTACTAGCCCTTTATCTGATATGTCATTTGCAAATATCTTCTACCATTTTGTCAGTTGTCTTTTAGTTTTGTTGACTGTTTCTTTTTGATCTTGAATGAGCTTTTGATCTTGATGAAGTCCCAATAGTTCATTTGTGCCCATGCTTCCTTTACCTTTGTTTCTAGGAAGAAGTTGCTGCAGCTGAGGTTGAAGAGGTTGCTGCTTGTGTTCTCCTCAAGGATTTTGATAGACTTCTGTCTAACATTGAGGTCTTCCATCCATTTTGTGTCTATTTTTGTGTGTGATGTAAGAAAATGGTCCAGTTTCATTCTTCTGCATGTGGCTGTCCAATTTCCCAACACCATTTGTTGAAAAGACTGTCTTTTTTGCATTGGACATTCTTTCCTGCTTTGTCGAAAATTGGTTGACCATAGAGTTGAGGGTCCGTTTCTGGGCTCTCTATTCTGTTCCATTGGTCTATGTGTCTATTTTTGTGCCAGCACCATACTGTCTTGATGATTATAGCTTTGTAATAAAGCTTGAAACCTGGAATTGTGATGTCACCAACTTTGGTTTTCTTTTTCAACATTGCTGTAGCTAATTAGGGTCTTTTCTGGTTCCATATAAATTTTAGGATTATTTGTTCCATTTCTTTGAGAAAAGTTGATGATATTTTGACAGGGATTGCATTAAATGTGTAGATTGCTCTAGGTAGCATAGACATTTTCACAATATTTGTTCTTTCAATCCATAAGCATGGAATGTTTTTCCATTTCTTTGTGTCTTCCTCAGTTTCTTTTATGAATACTTTATAGTTTTCTGAGTACAGATTCTTTGCCTCTTTGGTTAGGTTTATTCCTAGGTATCTCATGGTTTTGGGTACAATTGTAAATGGGATTGACTCCTCAATTTTCTCTTTCTTCTGTCTTGCTGTTGGTGTATAGAAATGAAACTGATTTCTGTGCATTGATTTTATATCCTGACACTTTACTGAACTCCTATATGAGTTCCAGCAGTTTTGGAGTGGAGTCCTTGGGTTTTCCACATAAAGTATCATATCGTCTGCAAAGAGTAAGAGTTTGACTTCTTTGCCAATTCGGATGTCTTTTTTTTTTTTTTTCTGTCTGATTGCTGAGGATAGGACTTCTGGTACTATATTGAATAGCAGTGGTGATAGTGGACAGCCTTGCCATGTTCCTGACTTTAGGGGAAATCTCTCAGTTTTTCCCCATTGAGAATGATAGTTTTTGTGGGTTTTTCATAGGTGGCTTTCATGGTATTGAGGTATGTACCCTCATCCCTACACAGTGAAGAATTTTGATCAAGAAAGGATGTTGTACTTTGTCAAATGCTTTTTTCTGCATCTATTGAGAGTATCATATGGTTCTTGTTCTTCCTTTTATTAATGTGTTGTATCATATTGATTGATTTGCGGATGTTGCAACCAATCTTGCAATCCAGGAATAATTCCCACTTGGTCATGGTGAATAATCCTTTTAATGTACTGTTGGATCCTATTGGCTAGTATTTTGGTGAGAATTTTTGCATCTGTGTTCACCAAGGATATTAGTCTGTAATTCTCCTTTTTGGTGGGGTCTTTGGTTTTCAAATCAAGGTAATGCTGGCCTCATAAAATGAGTTTGGAAGTTTTCCTTTCATTTCTATTTTTTGGAACAGTTTCAGGAGAATAGGTATTAATTCTTCTTTAAACGTTTGGTAGAATTCCCTTGGGAAGCCGTCTGGCCCTGGGCTCTTGTTTGTTGGGAGATTTTCGATTACCGGGTCAGTCTCCTTACGGCTATAGGTCTGTTCAGGTTTTCTATTTCTTCATGGTTCAGTTTTGGTAGTTTATATGTCTCTTGGAATGCATCAATTTCTTCCAGATTGTCAAATCTGCTGGTATATAGTTGCTCATAATATGTTCTTATAATTGTATTTCTTTGGTGTTGGTTGTGATCACTCCTCTTTTATTCATGATTTTATTAATCTGAGTCCTTTCTCTTTTCTTTTGATAAGTCTGGCCAGGGGTTTATCAATCTTATTAATTCTTTCTAAGAATCAGCTCCTAGTTTTGTTGATTTGTTCTACTGTTCTTTTGGTTTCTATTTCATTGATTTCTGCTCTGATCTTTATTGTTTCTCTTCCTCTGCCAGTTTAGGCTTTCTGTGCTGTTCCTTCTCCAGCTCCTTTAGGTGTAGGGTTAGGTTGTATACTTGAGGCCTTTCTTGTTTCTTGAGAAAGGCTTGTATTGTTATACACTTTCCTCTCAGGACTGTCTTTGCCGTGTCCCAAAGATTTTGAATAGTTGTGTTTTCATTTTCACTTATTTCCATGAATTTTTAAAATTCTTATTTAATTTCCTGGCTGACCCATTCATTCTTTAGTATGATGCTCTTCAACCTCCATATATTTGAGTTCTTTCCAACTTTCTTCTTGTGGCTGGTTTCTAGTTTCAAAGCACTGTGGTCTGAAAATATGCAGGGAATGATCCCAATCTTTTGGTACTAGTTGAGACCTGATTTGTGACCCATGGGCTCATAGTTTTGATGGTTTGTTTGTTGTTGTTATTGTTTGGTTTTGGTTCATTTGTTGATCACTGTT